GCCCTCCACCCTGACTCTCTAAGAGTTTGACTCTGGAACCAGACTGCTTAGAGCCAATCTCAGCTCTGCCTCTTGGGAGCTTTCTGGCTTTGAGCAAGTTACTTAACTTTCCATGTTTCTGTAAATGGGGGGAATGCTAACAATACGATCTGTGTCCTATGGCTTCCTTACATCATAGGGTTGTCATTAGGAATGTAAGGCACTTCAAAGGGGCTAGTGGTAATTCAATGGTCAAAATCTTGCCTTCCAAAGACCAGGATCCAGTTACTAACCATCTGTCAGTGAAGGCTTATTGTTTGCTATGTTGATGATGAACAAGTTTTGGCAGAGCTAACAGACTAGGTAGGACTATAGAAGAAAGGCTTAGTGATCTATTTCCAAAACTCTACCAGTGACAACTGTATGGATCAAAATGGTTCAGTTTTCCACCAATCATAGGGGTGGCATAGGACCAGACAGATCCTCCCCCACCCCCCGCTTCTATTTTGTATGGAGCCACCACCAACTGGGGGCCAACTTGGTGGCAGTTATTAACAGCAAGAACTTCAAATAGGTTTAGTAGGAGTTGCTATTGTTAGGTGTTGCTATTGAGTTGATTCTCGCTCATAGTGACCTATGTGCAGTAGACTGAAACACTGCTCTGTCCTGCGCCATTCTCACAATTATTGCTGTATTTGAGCTCATGCTTGCAGCCACTGTGTCAATGCACTGAAGTGATAGTCTTCCTCTTTTTTCTTTTTCTGACCTTCTGCTTTACCCAGCATGCTTCCCTTCCCTAGGAACGAGTCCCTCGTGATAACCTGTCCAAAGCACGCCATCCTTCTAGAGGGCGTTCTATCTGTCTTCTCCAAAGATAGACTTATTTATTCTTTTGGAAGTCCATGATATATTCAATATTTTTCATCAACATCACAATTGAAAGACATTAATTCTTCAGACTTCTTTATTCATACATCCAGCTTTTGCACGTATGATCGAAAATAATGTCTTAGATTAGGCACACTGTCTTAGGCTTGATTCTCTAGAGAAGTGGAATCAGTTATCCTTTTATGTGTACATAGAGAAAGTAACTTACATCAAGAAAATTATTCACACAGTTGTTTATGTGGGCACATTCTAGTCTGTGTGGTCAGATTTTTAAGCTCCAGGCTTCTCCTGACTCACAAAGCTGCAGGAACTAATGAACCCAAAATCAGCAGAAGATGAGAGCATGATGGCTACAGAGGCAAATGAATCCAAGGTGAGCAGATAAGGCTTGTGGCTGGAGAAACGGATGAATCCAAGGTTGGTAGGTCAGATGGCAGGGTCCTGACAACTCCCAGGATTGGCAGTCCATATGGTAAGCCGTTGATTCAAGTCTGAAAAACCAGAGGTCAATAAGTCAGTTGCCAAATACAGACATAGGGCAAAAACAAAACAAACTAAAAAAAAAAACCAAGCAAGCTTTTCCACAGTGTCTACTTGTATTGGAAGTATTTCTTTCTTTTGAGGAATGGCTGGTGGATTTGAACTGTTGACCTTGTGATACCTATGTTGTTACCGGGGCTCCTTTCCGCCATGCTGTTATGGTTGTTAGGTGCCATTGAGTGGATTCTCACTCATAGTGACCCAGTGTACAACAGAGCAAAACACTGCCTGGTCCTGGGCCATCCTCACAATTGTTCCCATGCCTGAGCCCATTGTTGCAGCCACGGTGTCAACTCATTTCCTTGAGGGGTTTTCTCTTTTTAGCTGCCCCTCCACTTTACCAAGCTTGACATCCTTCTCCAGGGACTGGTCTCTCCGGATAATATGTGCAAAGTAGAGTCCCTTCATTCTGTTCAAAGGATTATATAGGTTCCTCATGAGGCCAGTAAATGTTCTGGAATTCCTATTCTTTCCTATGCTACTAAAATTAAGGCACACAGCCATAATTTCATGATCCACAGTCGAATGTCTTTGCATTCATGTAGGTAGTAAAGGTTTTCGATCCATCAGAATTTGCTTGTGGGTTTGGTTTGTTATTTGATGTAATAGATGCTTTACAGATGGCAGTCAAAATACTAATGATTATTGCTCCTGTATCTGCTTCAAGGAAAATAATTTTAAGTCAGGAAGAGCAAAACCAACATGGGAAATATTGACATTGCAACACTTGCTTGGAACTGAGTGTCGATTTCAAAAATCACAGTATTCACAGTTGCCCAACATATACTGGGCTGGTGGTAAGGAAAAAATAGGCAGTCACTGCTGGAGTTCACACCCAAAGGGGCATGGTCTGTCACGGGAGGCCAAAAGCAGGCCCCTGTGTGGACTGAAGGTAAGGCTTAGGAGATCTCTGTTGATAGCTGTTGTCTAGTTGATTCTGACCCATGATTATCCATGGGTGCTGAGTTCCACAGGGTTTTCAATATCTTGGGGAGGTGGGGGGGGGGTCCAATGGTCAACCTTCCTGCAAGTTACATTGTTTTCAGTTGTGTGCTGTATTCATGCATCCCGCCTTCATATGTACAGTAGGTGATCGAGAATAATGTCACTGGTATAGAGTCAATTCTGACTCATCGCAAGCCCATAGGACAGCGTTTCTACGTCTGTAAGTCGTAGGGGAGCAGAGTATGTTCTCCGGAGAAGGGTCTGGTGGTTTTAGACTGCTAACCTTGTGGCTAGCAGCACAAGGAGTAGCCTACTATGCCACCAGGGCTCCTGTGTGTTTTCTAGTGCATTCAAACTCATAGCAACCTCACATGATAAATTTGAACGCCCTACATGCTTTCCTAGGCTGAAATTCCTGGAGGTGTAGCGCCTTCCGTCTTGGGTTGTGAACTGCAGGGCCAGCAGTTCAAACTCGCTAGCAGCTCCGAAGAAGAAAGGTGAAGTTTCTGCTCCCCTTTGAAGATCTTGTATAGGGCCATTAAGTCCGAATCAATTTGATGGTAGGGTTTGGGTTTTAGTAATAGCTATGGGAAGGTGCCCTGGTTGCAAAGAGGTTAAGTTCTAGGCTGCTAGCTGAAAAGTCGTTCGTTCAAACCCACTAGCAGCTCCTGGGGAGAAGATGGGGCAGTCTGGTTCCATACAGATGTAACCCACTGCTAGTTAGTCAATCGCAACTCACAGTAACTCCACAGAGAGAGAGAGGGAGTTTCTGAGAGGGTCAATCATTACAGAAGTAGATAGTCTCATTTTTCTCCTATGGAGAGGCTGTCAGCAGCCCAACACACAGTGCCACCTGGCTGCCATGGAGACCTGACCGGGGCGCTTCCACTCTGTCTTAAAGGGGAACCATGAGGTAGAACAGACTCCATGAAAAGGAGTCTTTGGGGTTTTCATCTTTAAACCAGAAGGCCGACCTCCAGGCCCTGAGAACCGGAAGGGCTATGATTCTTCTGGGAGTCATGATGGGTGGCTTGTCACCCTGGCTCCTTGGTCCCCTGGGGAGGAGCTGAAGAGCAGAGTTCTGCCCTGACCTTTCTGCTTCAGCCCTGGGTGGAAGGACTAGCTCTGCTAAAAGCACAGCGCAGACTTCACCCCAACATTCAAGTGGAAGCCAGATTGAATTTATCTAGGAATAGCTGTCCACCTGGAAACACCACGACATAGCAGAGCACCCGTAGGCTCATGACAGACTCTTCTTTAGCCAGGACATATTTCATCTCCAAATAAGAACTCTCTCCAGGAAGGGCTTGTAGCCCTCAACATTGGTCTCTTCGCTCCCCCAAAGGAGGGTGTTATTGAAGAAGGACTGAGATGGCTCCTGGGCTTTGGCCGAGCTCCGCTGGGTGGGGCAAAAAAACGAACTCTGGGTCCACTCAGGGCCACTTCCTAGGACCTTTGCTCTTTCCCTAGGGACTGGCTAGGGAGGCATTCCCCCCCCCCCT